AGCGTAGTTCTTTTTTAAGGGCTTCGACTTATGCCACAAGTTGATCTATGAGTGGATTTTGTTGGTCATTATCTAGTAGGGGAATTGGCTTTTCAATCTTCGGGTGCTACCTTAGAATCATGGCCGAAGTTTAGGCTGGCCATGTTCCCAATCGGTGCGTTTAGATGATTGCTTGGTATCTCTTCTAAAGAAGGATGGTTACTCATCTTCATAGTTCCCACAGACGACATCAATTGTGGAAGGTTGAGGATTCTCCACAAGGAATACGAGATGAGATAGTCCTTCATGTACTCTGAAAAGATAAACTAATTGGTCAGTGATCTCTCCCGACCAGATATGGTCGGGAAGACCCTCCGACGATCAAGTTAGACATAAGATCGGCTAGATAATATTTTTTTTTGGAGATAGGTTTTATATTTCTTTTTCGCTTACCATTTGATTTTCCTTACTTTTCCTTTTATAGTGTTGTGGTCCTGGCCTTAATTGTTGGATTGACATCTTCATCTAAGGGTTCTGGTTATGGCCAAACCTTGATCGGGCAAGTGGCTAGGTTGTTTTGATCTTTTGCCGTTGGATTGCCTTCCTATGTGCGACTCAGATTATGTCAAGCTTCTTAGGGATAGCCTGCCAATTACCTCATCCGTCCGATCATGCTCATTGGACGACCATTTTATTTATACGGGCTAGGTCTATGCATCTATCTCTGGTGATTATGATCTTCACCATTTGCTGTGAATTAATCTAATGGCCCTCCTACATTCTGCAGATCTTCTTTTAGAAAGGGATTTTGATCAGGCTTTAGTCACGTGACATTGTCCTTTCTTCTGTCGGACTCATCAATGGTTTGGGTTTTTCTTGATTTCAGATTGCTAGGCTAGACTTGACTTTTGGGTCTTGGGCTTAACATATCTGGTCCTTGGGCCAATATTTTCAGCCTTCCACACCTTCAAAATGAGACCAATTTTAAATATATTTAAAAATAACTAAAAAAATATATTGTTTTGAAAAGTATGCACAATGAAAATGAGATGTGTAGTTAAAGTTAGTACATAAATTTATAATATCAACAATAAAACATCTAAAATTATTTAAATAAAAAATATTATTTTCAATTTATAAGTGAAACAAAAGTAAAACCTACAAATTAAAAATAACAAATGAGCTAGGTGATGCGAGTGCAACCTATGTTTTGCTGATTTTGACAAGTACTTTTTTAACTATGTTTTTGTTGAATTTTTAAAAGAAATTTAGCAAACTTCTTTAGCGAGGAATGTTTTGGCAATAAGTTAAAAATGAGAGATTTTAGTTGGTTTTTTCAATTGGAAAGTGTTATTGGGCTTCTGTGGATTCATCATGGAGCTCACATCGATAATCTGAACTGTTTAATATGTAGAGCTCGTCGAGTACTATATTCTTGCAAAAAATCATGTTGATCAAATATCAATAACTACTTGATCAGATTAAATTTGTGTCAACAATTTAATTTTAAAATTATACTTACCATTGATACAAATGTGATATGATAAATTGATTATCGATATCCGATCAGTGTAATTTTTTGCAGGGATACAGTACTCGACGAGTTATCGACACAAATGTAATATGATCAAATGGCTATCTATATCCGATTAATGTAATTTTTTGTAAGAATGCAGTACTCGACGAGCCATATAAGATTATCGATGTGAGCTTCGTGGTGATTCTACCGAGGGCCATTAGCACCCTCTAGTCAGATATGGACTAGAGAGAACTCCCTGCGTAAGTGAAAATAGTCCAAAAAAAAAAGTCATGATAAAAAAGTTAATTTTTTCTCTACTTTTATGTAAGTCTTTTTAATAAAAAAAATTAAAAAATTAATTTAAGTTGCCAATTCTCAAAACAACCCTTTTAGTTGATGAGACAGAGCTTGAAAAATTAAAATAATATTTAAAAAAATGTCCACTAAACAAGAAAAATTTGGAAAAATAAAAATAAAAATTAAGGTTTTAGCTAGGGAACACTGTTCAAAGAGTGCGTATCACGTAGATCTTATAATTAAAAAATAAAATAGCATAACTCTATCATTTTTGAGTCATAACTAAAAAACGAAGAAGTCATAATTAAAGATCACATATGGACTAGAGAGAACTCCCTGCGTAAGTGAAAATAGTCAAAAAAAAAAGTCATGATAAAAAAGTTAATTTTTTCTCTACTTTTATGTAAGTCTTTTTAATAAAAAAAATTAAAAAATTAATTTAAGTTGCCAATTCTCAAAACAACCCTTTTAGTTGATGAGACAGAGCTTGAAAAATTAAAATAATATTTAAAAAAATGTCCACTAAACAAGAAAAATTTGGAAAAATAAAAATAAAAATTAAGGTTTTAGCTAGGGAACACTGTTCAAAGAGTGCGTATCACGTAGATCTTATAATTAAAAAATAAAATAGCATAACTCTATCATTTTTGAGTCATAACTAAAAAACGAAGAAGTCATAATTAAAGATCACACGAGACATAATTAATGATGTTATAAATCATAAATAAATAAGAAAATTGATCATCTACTATCTACTGAAAAGTGTGAAGAGCTTATCGTATTTTTTACTTTTTAAAATTTCAATTTTACCCTCTCAAATCTATTATATTTCCTAAGAGTTACAAAGAGTCCTATATAAACCAACTATCTTTATTTTTTGAAAATTGTAAGCCTTATAAAAAGAAGATTTGACATTAATTATATATATAAAGAGAGAGAGAGAGAGAGAGAGAGTCTTATATATTTTCTACTTTTTAAAATTTCAATTTTACCTTCTGAAATCTATTATATTTTCTAAAAGTCATAAAGAGTCTTATATAATTATCTCTTTATTTTTTAAAATTTTAAGCCTTATAAAAAGAAGATTTAACATCATATATATATATATATATTTAGAGAAAATTAGTTCCAAGACTCTTATATAGATATAAACAAATCGTCTCCCTTCTTATCAAAAATAAATAAATAAATCGTCTCCATATTTTTTACATTGATAATGATTGAAGAAGAAAAAATAATTATTCTTTCTTATTTCTTGTGTCTGCTTCTATATTGATATATATAATATTTATAATTGTCCATTATTGATCAAATTAATGTGAATAATTTTGTTTGAATCTTAAAATTGTATGCACTCGTTCGAATCTAAACAGAAGAAGGCACATGCACTTTTAAAATAGAGATTTGTTGCATCTAAAAAATTCAAAGGTATCTTCATACTCTTTCTTTTTGTTTAAATTATATTTTATGCATTGCAATATTTTATATGATACTTTAATAACTAAGGTATGATATTGAAATTCTAAAAAAAAACCAATTTCGTTAATTTTATTTTTTAAATCTATTTTTCAATTTTTAATTTTTCATATTTTCTCAATTTTGGTGATTAAAGATATTAGAATTTGTTCATAGTTTATATTTAAATTATGGTTTTACACGAAAATCTAATATCTAATAATTTAAATAGAATTAAAAAGTAAAATATTGGTAAAAAAATTTATAAATTCAAACATGTATTATTTTTTATTATTTTATTTTTATTATTATTATTATTATTTAATATCAATTATTTTTTTCCCAAAAAGAATACACAACAAATTATTTTCAAAGTGTATTTAGATTAAATGCATCTAAATCTAAAAGTAAAATTAAAAAATAAAAAAGTATTAAATTAAGTGAATCTAAAAAGAAAATAAAAGGGTTTTTAAAAAAATAGTGTCAAAGACAAAAAAAATGAAAATCACAAAATTCAAAATAAAAGTTTAAAAAAACAAACCAAACCAAACACTATAAATTTCTCTTCTTTTTTTCTTTTCTTTTTTTTTAAATATTTCTTCATTAATCTCTAATTTTACACAAATTATTCACAAATTTCTTTCAATTTTTATGTAAATTTAATAATCTAATTAAAAAATAGTACATACATAAAAAAATGTAACACTAAATATCTACATTATGACCAACTATTTAATTATGAATAATTATTTCTCATTGTTACTTTATTATATTGTTGCAAAGGATTTCACATATTACTTTTGTGATATTTTATATGTCAATGTATATATATAAATATATATAAAAAACATAAATGCAAATATATATATGTTATTGTATTAATACATTAGTCAGTTTATAATGCTATATTATCAGATGATATTTTAATTTTCTAACATATTTCATTTTAGTAATATAGTTATATTTACTAAGAAAAAATTGTGAAATTGTGTATTGTTCTCCTATCAACTTATATTCAATACATATATACATACATGTCATACAAATAAGTGTTCACAATAAATGTTTAATAATAAACCAAGACTTTACAAAACACGTACATCATGCTAATAATTGAACTTTTTATATTTCTTTTTTTTTTACGATAATTGTATAACAATTGTATACTAATGACTAATATTATATTTTTTATCATGCAAGATATTCGTGGCACATGAAACGAGACTTAACAACTCTTGATATATAAAATATATTACATATTGATATTAATATATTCTTACACCAATAGTATGCAAATAATATACAATTGTGGGTTCAATGAATTTGTGTTATCAGATAAACTATTAAACAAAATTGTGTAATTAATTTTATACCTTCAATTGTATTATAGGTACAGATTATGAAAAATTAAAGTAAGAAGTTGATAGAGAAAAATTTATATAATACTATATATTTAAATGACTTGTTTATTATTTATTATTTAAAATAAGATTGTGATCTCAACAATCTAAGTATAATTATCATTTATCATTTAAATTCGTCAGTCAAATATGTATTTATTTCTTATTTAGTTATATTTTGGACACAGATCAATTTATTTATATAAGTTTTCATATTTTTTCTACATATCATATACTAATTTAAGAGATATGCATAAATCGTTAATGAAAAATCACGTGTCACTAACTAAAAAAAATGAGATAATTAAAAATTAAAAATATATATTATATTCCGTTACCTCTCACTCCGTTGGTACTAACAGAACACAAACGTCTCCTGTGAAAACGTCAATGCTTTGTTGAAGTTTTTTTTTTTCGAGTCGAAGAACGCAATTTTGATGTCGTCGATGCTATGATTGATTATCATACGTGTTCGTTGTTATCAGTGAATTAGATTAGATGGACAATACACAAGATCTTTGTAATATTGAGGGAGATGATGAAGACGAAGGAGAAGGAAGGAACGATGATTCATGTTGCATTTCTTCAACATCGTACCGATTGTTCGGTAGGCAAATGTCAATTCATCAAATGATGGGCGGAGGTAAAGGTGAGATTGATTGGTTTTTATGAATAGATATACACATGAATTGACTGTATCTGTATTACACATTGAATTGTTCAAGCATTCTTGCTGAGGAATTTCACATTCATACACATTGATTTGCAATTACACACAAAAAGGTTCCTTTTTCACTACCCAGAAAATCTTCATAGTTTGTCTTGTTAATGGACTCACTTGATCAGTTAAATAAAACATTGGGTTAATTACAGCAAGACCCCCTTAACTATTACACTCCGTTTGGATGAGGTGATTTGGTGATAAACGATAAGAAATTTCTCATGTTTGATTTATAATTTGAGTGAGAAATGGTGAGAAAAGGGTTCTTGTACCAAGCTTATTTCATCAAAGATGCTCCATCCGTTTCTCCCATCCCTATGCAGCCCTTTGCGTCTTCCACCACAACACTCTCTATGCCCTTAATGTCAAGGGATGAAGTAGACATTTTTGAAGGAAGACTAGCTAGTCTCTTTGACATACCTTCTACCTCTCCCACCTCTACTGCTGAAGCTGAGCCATTAGCCTTGGCTAACTCCTTATTGGAAATCTTCGAGAGTTCTCCTTCCTCCAGTAGCAAGCCTTTTGTACCTTCAGTAGACTTGGACACATGCTTGCAACTGTTGACTTCCTTTTCAAGGATCCCCTTCGAGGCTCTACAAAGGCCTATCATCAGGAATGGATTCCTTCAATGCTGCAACATTGCTGAGCAGTCTGCCATGAGTGTCTCAAGTCATCTATCTCAGGCTGCAGCTACTGTTGATTTTTATCTCAACATTTGTCATGCTGCTATGCAGTTGACATATTTGGAGATTCTCAATTGGTGGTTAACCAAGTGAAAGGAATTTTCAAGTGTCAAAGCATAAGTATCCTGCCATATTATGTTGTTGCATTACATTTGCTTTCTCAGTTTCAAATAGCAAATGTAACCCATGTTCCAAGATTCTTGAACAATAGAGCCAATGATGTGGCTCAAAAGGCTTCGAACTTCAAGAGAAGAGATAATACCCAAAGGGACATAAGCCAAACAACATATCAGAGATTAATACAACCTTTGAATAAAAGGAATGTGATCTTGGAAGTCAATCATAATGACTTACAAGAACAAGACTGGAGGCATCCAATAATGCAGTACTTGACTCTCTAAAATTTGGTTTTTGGACCCCTAGAGTCATACATGGAACATCATTCTTAGCCAAATTTGGCTCAAGAACATGCTCTTTCGTTGTGTTAATTTCATAATTTGGCTCTTTTAAAACGAACTCTTGAACCCCCCGAGCCATTGATGAAATCAATTCTTTGCTTTTACTATTTTTAACCATGGAAAAATTTAGAAAAAATTCAACAATTCCGACCATTAAAGCCTCAGTTAAAGACTTGGTAGTGAGAGTTGATAACTCATCATTCCATTGGCGAATTTCCATATCAAGTTGATGAATTTCTCCAATTAAATAGTGTCTTTTTTCTTCCACCAAATAATATTGTAAGGGATGAAAGTTTAGTTACTAAGTAGTTATTGCTGTATTTTTTCTTCTATAAATAGCCATTAATGGCTACATTGTAAAAGGATCCAGAATTCATAATCAAAGACACTTGATTTCAATATTTCTTGTTATTTTCCTTATCTTAGGAGTAGTTTAACATAGATTTATATTTCGAAGCATTTATTTTCAGCATTTCTATTTCGAAGCATTTTATGCACTTTATTTTCGAAGCATAGGAGTAGAGGTAAGTAATTATTACTTTGATTGTTCACTCAATCATCTTTCTCCGTCCCTTTTTCTTCTTTTACTTTTTCTTTTCGCTACACTTGACAAATTTGAAGTCCTCTCGTTGATGAAAAGTCACGTGTCACTAACTTAAAAAAAAATGAGATAATTAAAAATTAAAAATATATATTATATTCCGTTACCTCTCACTCCGTTGGTACTAACAGAACACAAACGTCTCCTGTGAAAACGTCAATGCTTTGTTGAAGTTTTTTTTTTTCGAGTCGAAGAACGCAATTTTGATGTCGTCGATGCTATGATTGATTATCATACGTGTTCGTTGTTATCAGTGAATTAGATTAGATGGACAATACACAAGATCTTTGTAATATTGAGGGAGATGATGAAGACGAAGGAGAAGGAAGGAACGATGATTCATGTTGCATTTCTTCAACATCGTACCGATTGTTCGGTAGGCAAATGTCAATTCATCAAATGATGGGCGGAGGTAAAGGTGAGATTGATTGGTTTTTATGAATAGATATACACATGAATTGACTGTATCTGTATTACACATTGAATTGTTCAAGCATTCTTGCTGAGGAATTTCACATTCATACACATTGATTTACAATTACACACAAAAAGGTTCCTTTTTCACTACCCAGAAAATCTTCATAGTTTGTCTTGTTAATGGACTCACTTGATCAGTTAAATAAAACATTGGGTTAATTACAGCAAGACCCCCTTAACTATTACACTCCGTTTGGATGAGGTGATTTGGTGATAAACGATAAGAAATGATGAGAAAATGAATATTTTCTCATGTTTGATTTATAATTTGAGTGAGAAATGGTGAGAAAAGGGTTCTTGTACCAAGCTTATTTCATTTCTCACTAAAATGGTGATAAACAAATTGATTGGTCGTAAAATATTTAGAATTCCAAGATTGTCCTTTACAATGTAAAGGTAGCCTTAACTATTACACTCCGTTTGGATGTGGTGATTTGGTGATAAACGATAAGAAATTTCTCATGTTTGATTTATAATTTGAGTGAGAAATGGTGAGAAAAGGGTTCTTGTACCAAGCTTATTTCATTTCTCACTAAAATGGTGATAAACAAATTGATTGGTCGTAAAATATTTAGAATTCCAAGATTGTCCTTTACAATGTAAAGGTAGAAAAAAGAAATCCCACTCATATGCCTCTTTCACATGCTATGAGTGCCTCTCTCACATGCTTTGCTTTCTCACCCAACCAACCAAACATGATAGTAAGAAAACACAATCATTCATTTTTCTTTTCTCACCTAGATGAGAGACCGGAATCATTTCTTTTTTTTTTTCCTTACCCTCCGATCCAAATGGAGTGCTAGTGAGTATTTACCAAAAACTCATACATATTTACATATTTACCAATTAATTATGAAAATTGTACAAATACACCCCTTTTGGAGGTTGTCTTGGGGTGAAAGTTATACATTTTAATAGTTGAAGGATCAAAATATATGGATTCATCATGAAGGGTAATGTAATGCTTACTAATAGTTAAGGGGGTCTTGGTGTAATTAACCCAAAATCTATTTTGAAATTTAGATGGGGTTTGACAATTGTTTTTTAAGTAAATTTTTTTATTTTTTGCAATTGTAGAATTAAATGCTTTGCTAATTGTTAAAAAATTGTTTTTTGTTATGGAGAAAGTTTTTGGGGCATTTTTGATTTTTTTTTTTTTTTTGGGCGAGAAATTACATATTTGTAGAGTACTCTTGTTAACCTAATCAACGGGACATGGTAAAATTTCTCAAAGTATAGAGGGTAATATTTTCTTTTAACAATTTTGTTGACATTTCCAATTGTTTGTTTTGTATTCCTTTTTTTTAAATTATTGATGGACAAGTTGCTTTTCTAACCAAGCTAAACATGCTTTTTACTTTTAGCTTATTTAGCCAAAAACCTTCTTATTTAGAGATTGCCAAGCAGGATAATGAGGCCAGAATACTAGTGAGCTTAATTAGGTGATTTGTGTGCGAGGCAGCACATGCATGCACCCTGCAATTGTGGGTTGTTAGGTGCCACCCTTTACAAGTTTATCAATAACAAACAAAATTGAAAATTCTTCTGTATTGAACAGAGAATTTTATTGGGCTATTGTAAGAATTGTTTTAATGTTTGGTCCGAAGATTAGATGGTTAAGAAAAAGGCATGCTTAGTAAATGAGTGCAGTTGAAATTGGATGAGTGGTGTTACAAGAAAAAATATAAGAAATTAGCGCATTAAGGCCAAGTTTGGCATATTTCAAAAAAGACAAAGTCAAAAAGTCACTATCCTATTTAAGTCACATCATCTTATTTAAGTCACATCACCTCTCTAACACATCACTTCAAACCCAACCCAAACCCAACCCATATTTCATAAAAAGTCAAAAAGTGCACTTATTTAGATTATCCCAAACAACCCCTAAGAATTAGGGAGAAATTAGAAGTGGCACCAATTGAAAATATATTGTGGGAAATCATTTGAGATCGTAGAATCAATTAATGTTCCTGTTAGGAGGAGTGATTTAATCTACGTAGAAGATCGTAAAAGAAATAGAGGAAGGCCAACACAGGACGAGATGACTAGACACGATTTATTGTGGGTATGACTTGGAATAGAATCAACCCAATAATTGGGATAAAAGCCCGTTGAGTTGAGTTTATGTTCAGTGGCAGTTATCGCTTTAAAATTTCATGTCTATTTTTTTTCTACCACAGCTGTAAATTTGTGGTGGTTTCTTTTTTGATAACCGGGTGTTAGGGTTAGTTTACGCGTACCTCAACTAATCCCGGGGCCTTAAAGTTAATGACCGGGCAAATCTCTAGTGGCCCCAAGGTTCGAGATGTTTTGCTTTGTGGGATATGACCTTGCAACCTCTTGTGTGGTAAGCCCTTTGGTTGCCTTTCCTTCCACTAAGCCAAACCCGTTGGGGTTAATTTGTGGTGTTTGATTGTTCATGTATTATGATAGTATAGTGTGATGCTCATGGGGTGGATATTCTTTCTCCACACGCTTGTTTGGCTTTCTCTGTTAACAATCACTAGCTATGACTAATTTTGTGCTGACATTTCTTCCTGCATATATGTGCTTGTTATTCAAGGATGTCTTGTTTGACTGATTCTTGGTTCACTTTATTCTTAGCTGCTGATGTTATATTGTGGAAGCGGCAGCATGTTTCATGTGGAATCGTGGTTGTTGCTACTATTGCATGGATCCTTTTTGAGCAGTCAGGATTATCATTTTTATTGATTTGTTCGGATGTTTTGTTGATCTTGGTTGTACTGCTGTTTCTTCGGGCCAACTATGCTGTCTTCAGAAAGAAGTACGAACTCTTCCGTTCTAATAATTAAAATATCAACTACAAGTTCCTCATTATTCTAGTGTATCAATCATTTTCCACTAATGTTTTCTCTTTGCACAGACATCTCCGGACATTACCTGAGCTAGTCTTGTCCGAAGAAATGGTTATTAATGCAGCTGCATCATTTCGAGTCAAGATCAATTATGTGCTGCTTTTGGCTCATGATATAACCCTGGGCAGAGATTTTAGACTTTTCTTTAAGGTTAGTGACAACCAGCTGTTAAAAATGAGAGAACTCTAAGATTTATGTATCATAAGCTTACAGTGGCAATAACTGTTTTCTTACTTCATTATATCTCAGATACTAATAGTATTCATTGTTATTGAAATAAAATGACTGTTTAGAAAAGAAAGACAAATAGGAACATTTACATCTTTATGGAAAATAACTAACTAAAGTCGATGTGCGTGCGCTTCTCGAGGTGTTTTTGATTATGAGAGAGAGAGAGAGAACTCTAGGATTTACTCTGTTTTCAATGTAACAGTTCAAAGATGGTTGGGTGGTGTTTATCTTGTCTTGGGGTTGCATAACACGAAAGGTAGTGTGAAGTGTGAACCGCAGTGCGATAGGTATGTAATACAATTTGATGAAAAGTATGCACATTTACCCATAGAGAGAGAGAGAGAGAGAGAGAGAGAGAGAGAACTCTAGGATTTACTCACTCTAGGATTTACTCTGTTTTCAATGTAACAGTTCCAAGATGGGTGGTGTTTATCTTGTCTTGGGGTTGCATAACGCGAAAGGTAGTGTGAAGTGTGAACCGCAGTGTTATAGGTATATGCACTTGGTAATACAATTTGATGGAAAGTATGCACATTTACCCGTAGCCATTTAGTGTAGATAATAGATATTGCTTTTATAAAGTCATTGATGATTGACCCTTCCCACTACTTGCCTCATGGACTATTTGTCCTTGGCATATCATCTTTGGTTCTGTTCACTAAAAAGTATTTCTCTTAATGTGTATCATTGCTCACTGATATTTGTAAAGAATTTGCCTTACCAAATGTTTGTCAAATTGACAGGTGGTGATCTGTCTATGGCTCTTGTCCGTAATTGGAAGCGTAATCTCATCTTTTACACTTGTATATATCGGTATGCATATTCATTCCCATCTGAGTCCTACAGTTGAACATTTTGTCTTCAATTTTTGTTTACTTTCATCATGCTTCAACTCCTCTCATTTGTTTCATTACAAGCAAGCTCATGTTGCATACATGGCTTTGTCTTCTACTACCATGATGAGACGGTGAATGAGCCTTCAGGTATATAGCTATAGTAACTGGGCACTGTTTCAATTTTCTACATGATGAGCCTTGCCAGATTTGTGTTGTTGAATGGTGTGTGCACTAACACACAAGGGCGGAGCTAGGTATAATTGAGCGGGTTCAATTGACTCTGCTGGAACTAAGAAAAAGAAAAAAAGAAAAAAGCGACCTATGTATAATTATGCAAGTTTTGAGGGATTTTAGAAATTGACCCCACTGGCCTCTGTTGAGCTTGTTCAATTCATGTGGCACTATCAAAGGGAGCATTTAATACACCCATAAAAAATATTCGCTTTGTTTGGTTCCATTTTTTTGAATTATTTTTCCAAAAAGTGATTTGAAAACTCTATTTTGAAAAAGGATCTTTGTTTGGTTTTCAAAAAAATGCATTATTGCAAATTCAAGTTTCCTTCCAATTTAAGGAGAGGGACAATTTTGGAAAAAAAAATTTGTAACATCAAAAAACACTCCCATGTTAGTTATATATATATGTGTGTGTGTGTGTACATGCTATATATGTACATAATTTGGTATGTAGCCATTTATGGGTACATGTCCTATCATTAAATGTGTGATTTTATCATAAATTTTTCATTCATTTCAATCACAGAAAACGTAAATTTTTTTTTCAAATTGGCATTAAAAAAATTCTTATGTAGAAGCCAGAAGGGTTGTTTGGGATGATCTAATAAGTGTACTTTTTGACTTTTTATGAAATATGGATTGGGCTTGAAGTGATGTGTTAAAAAGGTGATGTGACTTAAATAAGATGATGTGACTTAAATAGGATAGTGACTTTTTGACTTTTTTCAAACATGCCAAACCAGCCCTAAATTTTCATAAATGTTATGCAGAAAATTTATTTTATCACAAAATTTCGTAACATTAACACAAGTATGTGTAACATCGTCAGAAATTGGCATAACAAAATGTCCAAATTTTTTGTATTTGATGTTGCAAAAATTTGTAAGTTAGTTACGATTTTTTTTAATGCCAATTTGTAAAAAAATTACATTTTTTGTGGTTGAAATGAGTGAAAGTTTTATGATAAAGTTTCACATTTAATGGTAGGATATGTACTCATAAATAAATACATACCAAATTATGTTTTCATACATATATAGCATGTACATATATATATATAACATGAGAATATTTTTTGATGTGACAATTTTTTTTCTTTTTTAAATTGTCTCTCTCATTAAATTAGAGGGAAACTTGAATTTGAAAAGTGTTTAGTTTTTTAAATAACCAAACAAGTACTCTCAAATTTTCAACAAATTGAGTTTGAAAAACAAGAACCAAACAAAGTGATTAATTTTGGCATCATTCAATAATTCTTTTTTTGGGGTCAAATTTGTCCCCAAAACAAGCAGCACACTCCTCAAATCGTTTCCACTTAAAGATAAGCATCTTAAATGCATCTCTCTACCTTTTTGTTGAAGCAACAATATTAATATCCCCAAGTTTTGTTTTTAAATGTAATTTGACAAGTTTGAATCACTTTAGTCGATGTTATTGAAATTATATGATATTACTACGTATTTTGTAACAAAAATGGATTTTGATATATAACTAAAAATTTGACATTAATGATGACTTGTTAAATGATCCCATTGAATGAAATGTTAATGATGACTTGTTAAAGTTGGGTTTTGATCTTTGTTTCCAAACTCACTCGGGAAAAAAAAAATCTCATTCTGGACAGGGTGCAGCTAGGATTTTTTTTTTTTTGGTTTTTTTTTTTTAGGTTGGGGGCAGAGATGGGTTTGTAGGGGTGAATCAGCCAGCCCTTATGATATCAATTGTACATGCATAATTATACAATAATGAGTCAATTAATTAATCTTCTTTATTTATCGGTGGCGGTGGTAGAAAGGGGGGGTTGGTAGTTGGCATTATTCTATGGAAAATGATAATTACTGCCCAATGGGTGGTGGTTACTGTTGGTATATGTGTAAAAAGTGTATTGAAATATGTTGGTGTGGATTTCCTATGGGGAGGCGCGGGTGATGAGTTTAAGTACTATTTGGTTGATTGGAATTTGATTTGTAGTCTAAAGGGCGTGGGTGGGTTGAGGGTAAGGAGCTGGGTTTTATTCAGTAGGGGATTACTGGGTAAGTGATTGTGGAGGCTTGTGTGGGAAAGGGAGAGGTTGTGGCGTAGGGTGGTGGTGGCAAAATATGGGGTTGGGGGGTTGGAGTTTTGAGGTAGTGGAAGGTTCCCATGGTAGTGGCTTGTGGAAATGCATTTGGATGGGTGGGGGGAGTTTAGAATAGGTGGTGTGGGGAAAAAGGGTGGCTGGTTTAGGATGTTAGGCTTTAGTGGCAAGTTTGCATTTGGATGCGTTGGGGGAGTTTAGAATAGGTGGTGTGGGGAAAAAGGGTGGCTGGTTTAGGATGTTAGGCTTTAGTGGCAAGTTTTGGATTGAGAGGTGGGACAGTTAGTGGATTTGATGGTTTTTCTATAGGGTGTTAGAGGGGTGGGTGAGGGGGACGATTGTTTGGTGTGGAGGCAGTGTACTAAGGATTTTTTTGGTGTCGTCTTTTTTCCGAGCCTTGGTGGGAGGTGTAAATAATCATATTTCGGGGCGAAGTATTTGTATAGCCAGAGCTCCTTCCAAGGTAGTGTTCTTTGTATGGAAGGTTGCATTAGATAGGATTTTCACGTTTTGATAATCTTATTTGGCGCCGGCAGATTTTGGTTAATTGGTGTTGTATGTGTCATATGAATGTGGAGTCGATTTCTCATATTCTTCTTCATTGCTCTCTCTGTGGCATATCAACTCTAGGTATTGATTTTTTCTGTGTTTGGAATGGTTTGAGTGCAACAGGGAGTTTTCTTGAGTATGTTTTTCAGAGTTGGGAAGTGGCATAGGAAGGCATGGTCATTGGCACCTTTGTGTTTGGCGTGGATTATTTGGTTGGAAGCATAATCACGTATTTTCAAGGTGTGGATGGGTTGGTGGCTCGTTTGAAGGCTCGGTTTGTGGTGATTTTGTATAGTTGGGTTTTGGGGATAGTGTCCTCGGATTTGTTTAGTTTGTCGATTTTATAGATGCTCTTCGTTATTAGGATTGGGTTCTCTGTTGATTCTTTTCCGTTTTATTTGTTAGATCGTCTTGATGCTTCTTCGTTAATAAAATTGACTTTTGTTTATAAAAAAAAGTTGTATTGAAATATGTTAAAAGTGTATATGGGAATGGGAGTATATGAAATATATATTGGAATTCTTATTTTTTGGGCATTATTTACTGTAGTAATTTAATGTATAAAGAGAAATAGAGAATTGTATTATTGATTGATATATGTTATTTTTACAATGAGTCCTATATATAGAAGATTAGAGGAGGTAGGTATGTAGTAGGTGGAGTAGTAGGTGGAGTAGGTGAAGTGGGTGGAGTAGGTGTAGTGGTAGGTTTTGGTACATTTTAACAGCCCCCCGCAAACTCAAGGGGGATAGGAACTAACCAACTTGAGTTTGGAGAGACTAACAAAACAAGAAAATAGACGAATACATAAAATAAAAAAGGATAGGAGACACTGTATGGTCGTGTCAGACCATTGGTGAAGACACTGGATGGTGGTGTCATAACGTTGTAGAGGACACTGTATGGGGGTGTCATAACGTTGTAGAGGACACTGTATGGGGGTGTCATAACGTTGTAGAGGACACTGTATGGGGGTGTCATAACGTTGTAGAGGACACTGTATGGGGGTGTCATAACGTTGTAGAGGACACTGTATGGGGGTGTCATAACGTTGTAGAGGACACTGTATGGGGGTGTCATAACGTTGTAGAGGACACTGTATGGTGGTGTCATACCGATGTAGAAGACAGTTTATGGGGTCATGTCGGACCGAGATAAGTTAGAAGTGGAACATCGATCAGTCTTAGATCCTGCATAGTTAGCATTGGTGAAACAGGAAAGCCCAGATTGAATAACAGCTGTGAAGAACAATCCCAAGTCAGGAGAAGTCTTCAAATACTTCAAAATTTGATGAACCGCGTTAAGGTGCTTTGTACGAGGTGCATGCATGCTTGAATGCCCAATACTAACTGCAAATGTCAAGTCAAGTCTAGTGTTGGTCAAATAATTCTTTAGTACACTTTTGCTGAAGTATGAGATCATTAAGCATTTTCTAAATCAATTAACAATATATAACCCGCATAAGACACACAAGAAGTTTTGGTTCTCTCAAATAATGTTCTATTTTTTGAAATATTTCCTTCTGTTTCACATTCCAATTTTGTAATATTCTTATTTTCATTTCAATGATGTTTCTGCTAATTTTTTCAATGGCAACTATAAAGAAAATGGAATAATAATAATCAAAACTCTACTAAAAATGTTAATCAAGGAAAGCCCTTTCAAGTGGATCGGCATATTATACATGTAATAAAGACCACTAGTTTTGGCCAAGAAAATGTGTCATATACTAACCAAATTGAATGGATGATAACTCTAAAATATCACATTTATCAATTTCTTTTTCAGAATAGTTGCAAGTACTAACATGATCAACAGCTCGTAAGATCTCCTAGGTTCCTTCTATCAAATGTTAGAAGACAGGACAGTAATTATGTGATTTCAGAATAACTTGAATCTCAAATGAATGAATGCTAGAACTGAAATAACAGTAAAATCAAGCGCATGAAAAAAGAAAACAATCCAGATTTACTTTCCCTAATATTCTTTTCCCAGTTTTTTAGCCTGTACAAACAGTAAGTTCTATCTGAAAATTGATTAGCCCAGTTTCCTTTGTTGACTTCGTAGCCAAATTTTGGATATACTTCTATGTTTGTTGTTAAGTTCTGAGTTGGTGCTTGTGAATTTTTTAAAGTATTTTGCTCAAAACAAAGAAATTGAGCTAGCTTGGCAAAAGTAGCAACCATTTCTTTTAACAAGACATGAGTCCAAGTTGAAACTTTTCGCAGCCTTTATTTTGTTAATCCTCTTGTAGCACATGCACTTAAAATGGCAAAAGGGAAGAAGTTACAGCAGCATGATGTATTTTCTTTATTTTATTTTTTAATCCGGGGAAACACATTATCTTTTCCTTCTATCATCATTTCCCAGAAATGTACACATGATTTCAGTGATATAATAATTGTTTTCATACATAGAATCTCAATATGATAAAATTTTGTTCTAAACAAGCTTGTCAACTATTGATTCGTGACAGGATTTGATAGCTTTGAAATGTTTACATTTATGCTTTTTGGGTTCACAGTTCCATTTTTTTCAATTAATTTGCTTTTTCTTCGTCTAAAAGTTTAACTTAAGTTGAATAGAAGTATTACTAATGCTGAGTGTAATGAAATGTTGTTAAAAGATTTCTGTTTGAGGGTAACATAGTGATTATCAGTCTATATTCTATCTTCCTTTTAGATCAGTCCTATTCGTATCCCTTCCCAACTGATTTAACGAAGACAAGGGAACCTTGAGGCTACATTAGGAACGTAGAAATGGAATGAAGTGAAAGAAAAGGATGTGGGTCGTTTTTATGACTGCTTTCTTGGAAGCTGCTTCAGCCTTCAGTATTGATTTTACTTCATTTTATCTTTTTGGCAGCATTGATGAAAAATGGAAAGGTCATCTTATACAAAATCCTAATCAAGACATCCCTTATTTCTCACTTACTCCTTGGAATGCATCTGAGATAGGGTTGTCAAATGATCCTGAAATGGAACAAGAGGTGCCCCTTAAACACTAACTCACATCATGACAAGATATGGGATATTCTAATAGAAAGGTCATACCTGTATAGTGGGAAGCACAAAAGCTAGGACGCAACACATAGTTGTGTTGCAAACAAAATTTGGTTAGTTGACACTAATCATATAGTTGCATTTGCATGGCCATGACACTAATTGTATATGGCAACTTTACCGTTGCATTTGTGTGGACGTAGAAAAATTCGGAAAGTGGATAAATAAATGGGAGAAAATTTTGGGTCAACGCATTATTTATCTTAACCTTAGGTCAATTTACTTCGCTGAAAGGTAGCAAACTTGTCTGACAATTATCGTTGACAATTAATTTTGCTTCAATTTGTCTTTAGCAATTGATTTGTTAAAATGAAACATTAAAATAAAGAAAAATCTACATATCAAAATAAAGAATAGGAAATGCAAATGGATCAACGCATTAAAGGATAAATTCATTAACATCAAGTTGCCCCAACTGGGTTTTTATACCCACTTGTGCATTAAATCTACCAACTTCATATGATATTCATATGCGGTTGATTTCAATCTAAGGCTACCAATTGAATATCTCTGTTTGAAGGTAACTACAACTAACCTTTACTGCATACTAGCAATAAACTTGTGCTATGCATGAAGAAAAGAAAAATATTATATATAGGCCTAAGCGGGTGCTAGTTAACCACCAGTCCACCACAGCAATAGACTCTAAATTCTCTGAGTCTCTCCCAAACCTACCCTCCTTGAAATTTTTATAGCCCGTCTCATGTAAATTAAAATTGACTCCCCTCAAATGTTTGTCCGAATTGCCAATTAGACGGCATTGCATTGTAGTTAGTGACGGTTCTTCCATCGCTTGTGGTGACCTGAAAGGAGAGAGACTGGCCATTGAGGTAGTTGTTGCTTTGCCAATTTTGGCCCCAGTTTCTTGACATGGGTCGCCACCCTGTTTTGGACCCCTTGATCGACACTGAATGGACATCCCCTGCACCGCCAACGTTGCTGATCAACACTAGGTTGAAGTAAGAGTGGCCATTGATTGTAAACCTTATGCCTCCTTTCTTCACACAGGGCACTCTGTCAACACCAAAATACAATCATAATAGTGAAGTGACTTCCAACTAGTGTAACTATGCTAGCAAAGTCAGAGCATGTGACTGAAGACTACAAAAACTAGAATAAAAAGTTACGTGTTATGATCCTAATGTCCCACGTTGGTTAAGCATGTCTAGAACAGAGTTATTCCCAAGCTCGGCTCAGCTCGTTAAGGGCTTGGTTTGTTAAGTAAATAAACGAGCTAGAGCAAACTTGTAGGTTCGTTTAATAAATGAGCCGAGCTCGAATAAGTTCAGCTTGTGAAGCTCGACTTATTTATCTTTATTTAAGTAATACAATAAATATATTATTTATATATTGAATTATATAAAAATATATATAAATAATAGGATAAATATATTATTTATATATTTAAATAATGTATATAATAGCAAAAACATGTTCATCATTATCGAGTTTTGAGCCGAGCTTGAGCTGTATTATCGAGCTTGATAAACAGATGAACCAAACTCGAGCCCTGCAAAGCTTGGTCCAACTCGTTTGCGGCACGTCTATAAAAGCTAATGGATGGTCGCTTTTTAAGTATGAGTTCTACCAAGGTTCGATTAGGGAGTAATCTATACCTTTGGAAAGACACCGGAACGATTCCGGCTCTGTATTGGGCAATTTGCAAGAAAGCAGGCTCTGCAAGATCAAAGTGCTGGAGGGGAGGGTTGCACCACCCACCATTGTCATTAGATTGAGAAGGGTCGGGAGGGCAGAAGTTAGTAGCAGTGACAGTGATGGTCCCAGGGAGGCACCATTTTGGGTCATCATTACATCTGATCTCGTAGCATGCCCCACAACTTAGCCCATTGTTGAATAAAGCAGTGCTGAGTGCGGCAGTGCTAGTGCCATAGCCTTGGCTATACAAGTTGCCATACCCACAAGCTCCTCCTGCAATTTCCAAATCAAATTTAGCAATTTCTATTACAAACACGCGTGCACACACATACACACACACAAAAAAAAAAAGAAAAAAAAAGATGAAGAAGAAGAAGAAGAAGAAGAAGAAGAAGAAGAAAGAAAAGAAAAGAAATAAGAAGAAAATCAATTTAAACTCAAGATAAGTATGATGTGAAGTTATATGCCAAGGCAATGAAATTTTTTATTGTATTATTATTATTATTATTTTTCTTGTGTCGATTGGATTGTTGTCTTTAACTTATGGATTAAGTTAGGGAGCTAAAAAAGTGGTTAGAAAATTAATTTTGTCATGCGAATTAAAATTTAGAGTAATGTGGACTACTTCTAGAATGAATTTGGTCTACGCATTTAATTTTTTTTGCAATTTTTGAAGTAACTCTTTTGAGTTTTGTAGTGTTGTTGGTAACTAACCCATTGTGCCAGATGCATCACCCCCACCATAGAAAGTAGCATGACCACCTTGCCAACCTCCACAGTCACCATAAGTGCCACGGAGGCATAAACTAAAGAAGAAGAGGAGAGGAGAAACAATGTAGAATGCTGAAATAGCCATTCGAGAGAGAGAGAGAGAGAGAGATTCTTGGTACCAGAAGTGGAATGGGTAAGAGCTGCTGAGTACAAGAAGTGGGAATGGGGTATTGCTTATATAGGAAATGGAGAAGACTAGGTTTAGGCCATTTAAGGGGTTCGATTGGATGGGGCATTTGTAGGGTAGAAACTGACAACTTAGCAGTGCTCACATTTGAGAGAAGAGCCAAAATAAATTAAAAAAAAAAAAAAAAACTGAATAAAATATTCCGTTAATTTTTCTTTCAGTTTTTGAACGAATCCGACCTTTTTAGAGAGAGAGAGAGAGAGAGAGAGAGAGAGATTCTTGGTACCAGAAGTGGAATGGGTAAGAGCTGCTGAGTACAAGGAGTGGGAATGGGGCATTGCTTATATAGGAAATGGAGAAGACTAGGTTTAGGCCATTTAAGGGGTTCGATTGGATGGGGCATTTGTAGGGTAGAAACTGACAACTTAGCAGTGCTCACATTTGAGAGAAGAGCCAAAATAAATTAAAAAAAAAAAAAAAAAACTCTTATCCAAACAAAAAAGAGAGAAATTACAATCATTTCTTTTCTTTTCTTTTCTCTTATTACTTAAGTAATCATTTCTTTTCTTTTCCCTCCTAAGTTACCAAACATAGCGTAAATAGCATCCACAAAAGGCATGTGGGATTCTATCCATTTGTTAGTTAGGAACCAATGATAGTGCCCTTCACAAGGACTTGTCTGTGAGCCACAATTGTGAGAGACCATAACATTACCAACATGGAAAAGACCCTAAACAAGAGGGACATGAAGGGTTACTTTCCAAGGGTACTCGACATATAACAGGGTCATAGCAGCTACACAGACAGACCCACATGAGCTTCCATGGAACTACACAGTTCAAATCAGTGTTTTGAGGTCTACCATGTGCATTCTATGGAAGTTTGAGGTTGTAGGCCACCCGTGGTCCCTATGAGGTGACATGTTAATTATGTTTAGGGTCCCAAGCACATGGGAAAAAAGGGTTACTTTCTTGTTTATATTTTTTTGCAATTTTCTATTGTCATATCTTAAAATTTTTAAATTTTTTTTTATTATTTATAAATTTAAACAAATTATTTATGAAGTCAGTCAATTAACACTACTGAACCTCCACTGAAACTGGATTTGATTGAGTCATTGCTTTTCATGCTGGATGATAATGTGATTTTATTAGACAAATGTGTAGGTAATTGGTAATGCTGATTTGCTATGAACCTCGACAGTTTTGCATTGACATCAGTTTAGAAATGGGAACATTTGCATGTAAGGCATGATTCAAGTGTTTGGCATATTTGTCATTTGCATGGGAAAGAGGAATTATTCTATCCATCACAGTTCCTGCCCTGTACAACAAACATCAAGACCATGTTGATCGGTTTGCTGATCTGATCCACCAAAAATTTTCAAATCACTACAAAGCAGTAGATGACAGTGTTATTAGCAGATTCGCACGGAGTTCAACCAAGGCAAAGGTTCGCTAATTTGTCCTGCAAACAGTTAATAAGTTGAGTTGCCGGGTAACTTGTTCTTTTCACTGAACTTGAATGATTGAATTCTCTTGATTCTTTGGGTTGTTTTAGGCTGTACAAAACAAGCAGAAGTTCATTCTGAAAATTGATTAGCCAGTTGACTTTGTAGCCAATTTTTGGAGATACTTCTAGGTTTGCTGCCAATTTCAGAGTTTATGCTTATGAATTTTTTCAAGTATTTTGCTCAATAAAAAGAAATTGAGCTACCCCGGCAAAGTAGCAACCATTTCTTTTAACAAGACATGAGTCCAAGCTGAATTTTTTTGCAGCCTTGCTTTTCTTAACCCTCTTGTAGCATATGCACTTAAGAGGGCTGAAGGGAAGAAGTTACAGAAACCTGATGGAGTAATTTTTTTTAATTTTTAATTTTTAAATCTGGGATACAACAACCGTTTTCATACCCAGAATCTCAAAACGATAATTTTTTGCTGTAAACTAGCTTGTCATCTGTTGTTGATTCATGACTGGATTTGGTAACTTTGAAATGTTTACATTTATGCTTTTTGTGTGCACAGTTCAATTTTTCAATTAGTTTGCTTCTTCTCCTTCGCAAAATTTAATTTAAATTGACTAGAACTAACTATTACTGATGCTGAGTGTAATGAAATTTTTTGTGTAGATTTCTGTTTATGTCAGGGTAACATAGTGATTATCAGTCTCTATTCTATTTGCCTTTTAGATCAGTTCTATTCCTATATCTTCCCAACTAATTTTTGGCTGCCTTTTACCTTTTTAGAAGCATCAATTTTTTTACATTACTGATCTAACAAATACAAGGGAACATTGAGGTTACCAAGAATGAAATTAAGTGAAAGAAAATGATATGGGTCGTTTTTATGTCTTCTTGAGACTATGTTTGGTACGCAAGAATGAAATTAGGTGAAAGAAAATGGTTTGGGTCATTTTTATGACTTCTCTCTTTTAAACTTCTTCAATCTATAGTATTTACTTTACTTCATTTATCTTTTCGGCAACTTGGGGCTGTTTTGGTAATAAGTCAAAAAAGCCCAAAGTCAGCTTTTAATCCATTTTAGGTCACATCACTTCTCTCATGAAACAGTAAAAAAAGTCAAAAAAATTAATTTTTAACTATCTTTTCAAAACATCCCATTGTCTTATTCAATACATAAATGGGAGAAAAATCTGTCTCGAAGCCTTATTTATCTTAGTTAATTTACTTTGCTGAAAAGTAGCAAAATTGTCAGAACTCTTATTATTTTAGTTAGGTTGAAGTCTAGTAATTCATTTATTTTCAAACCGACCTATTAACTATCTATTTGTATTATTAAGTAGGTGTAGTATAATTTATAACTGACAATCTACTTGTATGGTGGTAATTAATAATAAAACCAAACAAAGTTATTGATATATTCCAATTTAAATTTAATGATTTCAAATGTATAAAATTGTTTGTATATCCAAATATTATTGAGAGATCTATGTTTTGGACTAAAAATTTTGTGCTCTTGCCTTGAAAGTAAAACATATCCAATTTAGGCTTTGCTTGGGAACAAGCTTATAAGTTCGCGTATTGGTTTATTAACTTATTTAAGTCACATCACTTCTTATTTTTTACTCTTTTTTTTTTTTGTATATTTTTTTGTAATGACCCAAAAAGTAAACTTATAAGTCACTTTCCAAAACAACCATTAACATCCAAATGCTTTGATGGAACAATTATCTTTGACAACTAATATTCTTTAATTTGTGTTTATCGATTGCTTAATTATTTATAATAAAGAAAAAATACATATCAAAATAAAGTATAGGAATGCACAAATGGATCAATGCATTGAAACCTAAATTCATTAATATCAAGTTGCCCCAACTCGGTTTTTATGCCCACTTGGGCATTAAATCTGCAAACTTTATATGATATTCATGCAGGCTTGATTTCAATCTAAGGCTGCCAAATAAATATCTATAGCCTTGATTCCAATCTAAGGCCTACAAACTGAACATCTCTGTTTGAAGGTAACTATAACTAACCTTTATTGCATAACAGCAATAAAGTTGTGCTATGCCACGGAGAAAAAAAAAAAAAATTATATGTAGGCCTAAGCGGGTGCTAGTTAACCACCACAGCAATAGACTCTAAATTCTCCGAGTCTCTCCCAAACCTACCCACCCTGAAATTCAATATCATATACAAACTTTGTAATCTTTCTCATGAAAACCTAGAATTGATCCCCCTCGAATGTTTGCCCAAATTGCCAATTAGCTGGTGCTGCGTTGTAGCTGGTGGCGGTTCTTCCATCACTTGTGGTAACTTGAAAGGAGAGAGACTGGCTATTGAGGTAGCTGTTGCTTTGCCAATTTTGGCCCCAGTTCCTTGACATGGGTTGCCATCCTGTGTTGGACCCCTTAATTGACACCGATTGGACATCCCCAGCGCCGCCAACGTTGCTGATCAACACTAGGTTGAAGTAAGAATGGCCATTGATTGTAAACCTTATGCCTCCTTTCTTGACACAGGGCACTCTGTCAACACCATAACACAATCATATTAGCAAACTGACATCTAACTGTCCCAAGTTGGTTAAGCATGTGTATAAAAACTAATGGATAGTTGGTTTTTAAGGATGAGTTCTATCAAGGTTCGATTAGAGAGTAATCTATACCATAGTTGTCAAATCGGAATTCGTATCGTGAATCGAAATGGTCTCATACCGAATCGCGAATCGAACCGAATCGTGAATCGTAAAGATTCGGTCACTTCTTCTAAATTATTTAAAAACATATATTTACACATTTAGATGTTAAATATATCTTATGAATATAAAATATTTAGACTTAAATCAATAAAAATGTTATTTTGAATGATAATCACGTAGTTTAATAAGTAAGAAGTTAACAAGCGTTCTTATGTAAGATCACCATCTTATCTTTTTTTTTTTCTTTTTTAGATATTTCTTATCAACCATTCTTAATAAAAATAATAACTAAATAGACAAACTATCAATTTCTAAAGTAACAATAATTAACAACGATATTAATATTTGGACAATAAGCATACATACTTTTCTAAATAACAGTGAGCAAATAATAAGAAAGAATCATTTAGAATCTTTTTTTTTAAAGTCTAAAATATTTTAAAAAGTATAACTGACCTCATAGATATAATATTTAATTTAATAAAATAGCAATAGATAATTCATAGTGTAATTTTAATCTTAAACATCTTTAGAAAATATATTACGATTTTTTGAAGGAAAAAAAAAATGAGAAGAAAGGTTAAAAATATGTTGGGTCTGACTAAAATTAATTGGATCCTATTAAAACCTTCATGATCACTAAAATAACAACAAATCATGTAGATATGCTGGTTATTTTGGTATTAAACGCTATTAGAAGTTGTATTATATCATTTTTACTAAAAAGATGGAGGAAAAATAGAGTCGAAAATATGTCGGAAATAATAATTTTAAAAATTGCATGAATCGTAAAAAGCGAATCGAATCGTAAATCGATTGTGAATTGTGCGATTTACTAGAGATTCACTTCTAAAATAGATTCACCCTTAGATACGTATCAATTTTGCAAAAATTGCAAATCGAATTGTGAATCGAATCGCAAATCGTAAAATTCTAATAACAGAGATCTATACCTTTGGAAAGACACCGGGACGATTCCAGCTTTGTATTGGGCGATTTGCAAGAAAGCAGGCTCTGCAAGATCAAAGTGCTGGAGGGGAGGGTTGCACCACCCACCATTGTCATTAGATTGAGAAGGGTTGGGAGGGCAGAAGTTAGTAGCAGTGACAGTGATAGTCCCAGGGAGGCACCATTGTGGGTCAGCATTACATTTGATTTGATAACAAGCCCCACAACTCAGCCCATTGTTGAATAGAGCAGTGCTGAGAGCTGCAGTGTTGGTGCCATAGCCTTGGCTGTATAAGTTGCCATACCCACAAGCTCCTCCTGCAATACCCAAATCAAATTTAGCAATTTTCTATTATTAAAAAAACTAAAAACTAAATAAATAAATAAAAAAAATCTATTTGAACTCTCATGGTAAGTATGATGTGAAGTAATATGTGAAAAGCAATGCAACTTTATTTTATTTTATTTTTTATAATATAGATGTTGATGGGACAGTTGACTTTTAAATTATGGAAAAAGTTAGGAATCTTGAAAAGTAGTTAGAAAATGATTTTTGTTGTGTGAATTCAAACTCTGTAAAATTTGGTTAGGACCATTTATTTTCTAAGAACTTTTTTAACTAACTTTTTTAGGTTGTATAACATTGTTATTAACTTACCCATTGTGCCGGACGCATCACCCCCACCGTAGAAAGTAGCATGACCACCTTGCCAACCTCCATAGTCACCGTAAGTGCCGCGGAGGCAAAAACTGAAGAAGAAGGGCAGAAGAGAAACAATGGAGAATGCTAGAGCAGCCATTGGAGAGAGAGAGAGAGAGTAGAAGAATAAATGGGGGAAATGGGTAAGAGCTGCTGAGTACAAGAAGTGGGAATGGGGCATTGCTTATATAGAAAATGGAGAAGACTATTTGAGGGGGCATAGATGGCTAGGTTGGGGCATGTGTAATGTAAGGTAGAAAGTGACAACTTAGCAATGCTCAGATGACCAAAACCACAAAAAATATATATATACATATATATAATAAAAAATAACAATAATAAATACATAAATAAAAGAAACTAAAAACTGAATCAAATATTTAGAGGTGATATGATATACACAAGGATCAGGTTGCACTTGCACATGCAGATGTTCCGACTAACCAACTGCTATGCTCACTTGGCCCCACACTCACATGCATTTCTCAACCGTCTCTTCTTCACATCTACTCTTTTGTATTATTATTATTATTATTATTATTCAACAAGTATATCAATACATAAACTAACTACAAGCATAGAAAACACAGAGACTGAAAAGATTGAATAATGTTATATGTATAAAAAATCTGTACACAAAATGTATGAAAACTCGATGGTGTGTATAGATTTTCTGTGTAAATAATATTTTCTTATACAAGATTTATTAATGGGACTCATTTGTATAAAATTTTGTTTATTCATGTATTTTATATGTCGTGTTTGATTTCTGTTTGATTAAATTTTAAAAAAAAAATAAAAATAAAAATATAGTAATATTTTATGTGGACTTTTTTTTGTTTTTTGTTTGAAGGCTATCATATGCCTAAAATTACGGAGGCAAATACGTGTTTACATTAAATGGGGTGATGTGGTTAGGGCACGTTTGGTTGCAGAATTTAGGGGTAGATGTGAATCCACCTTTCACATTACAGTTAGGAATGCATTCTCCCAAGCGATTTGTTTGAGCATTCTAAGACCTCGTTTGAGAATAGATTTTTGAAGTATTTTTTTAATTTTTTGATTAAAATATGATGTAAAAAAAAATAGTATATTTATGATGATTTTTTAATTTTTTTTATAAAAAGATGTGTAAAAAGTAAAGAAAAAAAAAATCTTTAACTTTTTGATATAAGTTTTTAACTTTTTGATTTTTAAACTAAAAAGTAATATTACCAAACGAGATCTTAATAAAAGTCCATTCATAGTATTCTATTAATAATGCAGGTTAGTTTTGATGGTTGCGCAATACTAACATGCATGGACTTTTTATATGAGTCTTTTTAAATATCAATTGATTTTAAGGGAGGATGAAACTCGATCTAATTAATTCTTTGACTAAGTCCTCTAGGCCACTGATTTAATGGCATGTTAATTTGTTAGCCAAGAGCCTCTGGTCAAAAAGTCCCATTATCCTATCAGATTCCTGGTGTGCTAAGTAATAATGCAGATTAATTCTTAGTTTGAGCCACTGATGCATTGGCATGTTTAGAAGTGATGAACTGAGTATATTCAACAGACTCTTTAAGAAGACTCGTTAACTCTTGTAATTAGTCTTATTCTATTTTACTGTTTCTAACAAATTATTTATTATAATTATTATTTTAATAAAACTCTGCTAATCTAACTATATGGAGAGTCTCCTGTCTCTTTAAACTATCTGTGTAGACGACAAGTAAATTAAAGAATACTATTAAGCGGTTGTTTGGCATATCAAAAAGTTTAATTTTTTGGCTATTTTAGTTACAAAAAGATAAAATAGACTATAAAGTCAATAAAACAATGTTATATCCAAACTATAATTATTTTATTTTTTCTCTTACAAAAGTCAAAAAAATTAAAAAATCTATCACAAATAAGACTTTTTAACCTCAAATTAAAATAATAAAAAAATTAAAAAGTTAAAAAATAAATCCACAAAAATTCAAATGAGTAAAAAAAAAATAAGAAAAATAAGAAGATGAATTTTCTAAGAGGATGATGCAAATAAAACTTCCCATTTTGGGAAAAAGGTTGGTCAAATTTTGTTGCCTCTAAGTCAACAAAGAACCACAACCTACCTCCTAGGAGTACCCAATTTTTTTTTGAAGAAAGAGCATAATGAAATTAAGAGCCCCCATGTTCCTTGTTGATTACCACGTTTCAAACTTGTAGTATATGGGTATGGTCAAATGACTTCGAGATCTGTTTTAAGCTCAATAGTGCCTAGTAGCATAACTATTATATATTTATGAAAATGAACTATACATAAATTTCAAGCAAATTATATAATATATATACATATTTGCATTTACCAATCATGTTTTGTCCTTAGAGATGAAGCATCAAACAACAAGTTCTTTCCTTTCAGCAATTTTAATGGCACATATTTTCTAACAATTTTTCCTAACCAATGTAGTTTCAAGGCTGCTTAGTTTTTAAGTTTAATTTTTTTTTGCCGATTATTTTAAAATTGAGATCCGCATAGATTATACGATCATAATTTTTTTTTTTAATTTTTTTTTGTCTTTAGTGTACATTTTTTTTTCAATTCTCGTACTTTTTTCTTTTCTTTCAATTTTTAGGATAGTTTAATAGTTTAGACAGATTTAAAAAGCAAAAATTTTTACTCAATATTAAAAAAAATTCTAAAAAAAAGACCTTAAAAAATAAATTAATTTATAAGCTGCAGGAAAAAAGGTACACATTTACTTTGTTAAATATATATATTTCCAATTAGTGAAGATTAATTACAAATATGAAGTATTATATCAAATTAGACAATTATACTTCAACAACACATAAGGAATTACATGCAGGTGAGAGAAGGGAAAAAAAAATTATCAAACACATGGGGGTGTAAGTGTGTTTGTGGTGGGATGCAAATAAAATTCTGTGGGCCTACAAGTGTCACTCACCCCTCCATGTCTTGGTAATTATATTTTTTTCTAACTCCCTGCATGTAATTCCCCTTAACTAGAAACCCAACAATTACCAAGCCTAATAAAGAAGTAAATAAACAATTAAATACAATCCCATTATGGTAGAAAAATAATTAATTTTTTCAATTAGCAATAATTAACTTATTGACCTCCTGTGGTCAACTAAGTTTGTTAAATCCTATCTTCAACCTGCAATTTTATAATATCACTATAAAATTACAATTTTAATTCATTCTTAGTTTTAAGAACCTAATGGAATAATTTATTTTTAAACATAAACTCACAAGTTCAACTTGTAATTTCATTAAACATAAAATAAGTTCATTTGCAACTTCATTTGCAAAAAGTGGTGGAATGAAATAAAATACATTCCTTAACCTTTGATTTTACGAAAGTACCTAAATTTAGAAAATAAACTAAAATTTATGAGTTTAAGAAATTTATTTCAAAACTATCCGTGACGTGTAAAAACCTTCCTTTTCACTAGAAAGAAATAAATGATAGAAAATGAAAATGATAGAGAGTGAAATAAAATAAAAGGAAAGGAAAGTAAAATATATATATATTTTTTTGTATAAATTTGATTAGGATGCAAATTTTATAAGAAAATAGGAATTCTAATTATAATAACTACTTTTATAACATATTTTTACTTTATTACATTTTTTGTATTTTTTGTAAGAAACTAGAAACTTAGTTACCATGCTATTATGAATTGTATAAGAAAATTAACTTTTTTGTAACTTTCACCATTTTCATGCTAAAAAAATAAAAAATGTTTGAGGGCCACAATTTTTGTGGCTCAAATGGCTCGAAATTGCCAAAACGACGTCGTTTTGGCAATTTCGAGCCATTTGAGCCACAAAAATTGTGGCCCTCAAACATTTTTTATTTTTTTAGCATGAAAATGGTGAAAGTTACAAAAAAGTTAATTTTCTTATACAATTCATAATAGCATGGTAACTAAGTTTCTAGTTTCTTACAAAAAATACAAAAAATGTAATAAAGTAAAAATATGTTATAAAAGTAGTTATTATAATTAGAATTCCTATTTTCTTATAAAATTTGCATCCTAATCAAATTTATACAAAAAAATATATATATATTTTACTTTCCTTTCCTTTTCTTTTATTTCACTCTCTATCATTTTCATTTTCTATCATTTATTTCTTTCTAATGAAAAGGAAGGTTTTTACACGTCACGGATAGTTTTGAAATAAATTTCTTAAACTCATAAATTTTAGTTTATTTTCTAAATTTAGGTACTTTCGTAAAATCAAAGGTTAAGGAATGTGCTTTATTTCATTCCACCACTTTTTGCAAATGAAGTTGCAAATGAACTTATTTTATGTTTAATGAAATTACAAGTTGAACTTCTGAGTTTATGTTTAAAAATAAATTATTCCATTAGGTTCTTAAAACTAAGAATGAATTAAAATTGTAATTTTATAGTGATATTATAAAATTGCAGGTTGAAGATAGGATTTAACAAACTTAGTTGACCACAGGAGGTCAATAAGTTAATTATTGCTAATTGAAAAAATTAATTATTTTTCTACCATAATGGGATTGTATTTAATTGTTTATTTACTTCTTTATTAGGCTTGGTAATTGTTGGGTTTCTAGTTAAGGGGAATTACATGCAGGCGGGAGTTAGAAAAAAATATAATTACCAAGACATGGAGGGGTGAGTGACACTTGTAGGCCCACAGAATTTTTTTTGCATCCCACCACAAACACACTTACACCCCCATGTGTTTGATAATTTTTTTTTTCCTCCTCTCACCAGCATGTAATTCCTTATGTGTTGTTGAAGTATAATTGTCTAATTTGATATAATACTTCATATTTGTAATTAATCTTCACTAATTGGAAATATATATATTTAACAAAGTAAATGTGTACCTTTTTCCCTAGGATGGCAATGGATAACCTACCCTGTGGGTATCCATGGAGACCCAACCCAAATACATGGATTTTTCCCTTTTTTCTTATCCATTTGGTAGGGTAGGTGATATTCTTTGAATATCCACAGGGGATGGGTTGGGGATGGATACCCACTAATTTCCCCATATGTCTTTTTTTTTTTTTAAGATTCACAACCAAAACTAAATATACATTCAATCTTTTTTCTTTTATTTATTTATTTATTTATTTTAGGTTCACAACCAACTTCTTTTTCTTCTTTTTTTTTTTTTTTTTTTTTTTTAAATCCACAACCAAAGCTAAATATACATTCAATCTTTTTTTTTATTACAATTTTTTTATTTTTTAGACACACTTAACATAAATACACCTAAAAAGTAAAAAAATTATAAAAAAAATCCTTTAAAAATTCACTAAATATCAAAAATACAAAAAAAAAAAACAAGAATTCACTACATTTTTTGTAATTTTATGTATTTATTAATTTTTTTAAATATTTTTTCACAATTTTTTTATTTTTTAGATACATCTAAGTAAGGTGCATTTTAAAAAAGTAAAAAAAATATTTAAAATTTAAAAAATATTCACTAAAAACAAAAAAAATACGAAAACTAAAAAAATCAGTTTTCAAAAAACTTAATCTAGAAAACTCAAACCAAACACACTGAATTTTATTTTAATTTTTTTAAAAATATGATTAATTAAACTTAGTGCCCTTGTATTTTATTATAATCTCATTTTGGTTAATCCTTAACTTTCAATTGTGATAGTTAATATCTTACATTTAAGTCAAGTTGAAATGTAATTTTTTTTTTGTTTATCTACTGTTAATAAGGTTAACAAAAACTAAAAGGCTAGAGGCCTAAAAAATTTTACACTATCTGTACTCACAGAGACGTGGGTCTCATATGATGTGAGTCATACACACATGTGACTATTGTGTAAAATTTTTAATAATTTGTTTAGAATCCCTAACATTAATCTAACGAAAATTAAAAGTAAATGGATTCAAATGAGATTTGTGAAAGTATAAGGATTAAAATGAGAATTTGATGGAAGTATATGAGGAGAGTGCTAATGAGACGAAAAAAATGTCACTTTTAGCTTACATGACAACTTGCATTAGCCATATTAATAGTAGCTAGACAGAAATGTGATATTACAATTAAAATGTAGTGGGTTTAATTGTCACCATTAAAAATAAAGAGACCAAAGTAAAATTATAGTAGAAGTTAAGGGTATTAAGTGTAATTAACTCATATCTATTCTATATAATAAAGTAACTTATTCAAAAAGAAAATGAGAATTGACTTGTGGAAAATGAAAACAGAGAGAACATTTGAGATGTTATACGTAGCATTTTCTTTATTATCTCCTTTTTGAAAAGAAAAAATTGCGACATTAAAAACATCCCTTCTTAACATGAATCCAATGCAATTCTCTATCCAAATCTTCAAGTTTGTCACTTTTGTGAGAGGATATTGTGAAGGTGGAACTGAGGATTTATGCATCTATAAAAGCTATCCCTTCAAGATTTATAAAGCCACAGAAAAAGTTATGTACTCAAAATTTTTATTTAGAATTTAAATGTGTCGTGTAAATTTTAATTTAGTGACGTATATCATATTCAGAATAAATTTGATCAATATATTTCGAATTGTTGACGATTTTTAAGTAAAAATTATGATTATGTAGCATTGCTGATAAAATTGAGGTTTCTAAAATGATATGATATCTTTTCTTTGATATTGATTTCTCAACAAGCATTTCTCTCATGAATATCAACAAACATACAATAAAAAAGATCCAATGCAATTTTTGGCTTTGATCTGAAGTCAGAAAATCATGGCTTTCCAATCAATTGATGGTAAAAATGTCAAAATTTTAAGATCATATATGTACTTCCCTTGATGAATAACTCAAATAAATACTACTAAATAAACTTGAAACAAATTTTGATGCATTTTACTTTAGCATTTGCTCTTTCTTACATATATAATTTATTGGCTAGTTGGTTAGCCAAGAGATCCTGTACTTTCGAACTTTCACATATATATGTAAGTCTTCTCTCTTATTGATTGACAAAAAAATTAAAAAATTCATGTAATTGATATTATTAACATTTGTTATTTCTTGTAACTAGCTTCAATGTTGTATCATCACAAGGTTGACAAATTTGAGCCATAGGACATGTGTAGGGAGCAAATATTCTGGCGAAGCCCGTACTCCTTTTTACCAAGCTCTGTGCTTATCCAATCGTCCTGCAAACACAACAGCGGTGAGCTACCCGGCGGAGTGTGGCCGGAAAACCCCTCCAACGATCAAGTTAGCACGCACTCAGGGATAGAGAGAGAGAGAGGAGAGAGTTCAGTGTTTAGTGTATCTCGCCAAATGATCATCTACCTCAGCATGGGAGGCGCAGACACGCTTATATACCTTTTGCGCCCCAAATCTACTCCCATTAGTCTCTCGATACGTGGTGCTGCTATCCCATCTGTCAGCACAAATCCAACAATCACCACCTAACCAAACTGTTAGGATACCTCGGCGGAGCTCGACAGACCGGCGAAACCTCCTCGGTTTCTCCTGACCGTGCTGCGCGGCATACCTTAATGAACCATTCGCCGAGCTGCTGTACAACCGAACTCGGCTGCATTCCGGTAAGTCGAGCTCGAGGTAGGTCGAGCCGGTTAGCCGTCGGTCTTTCTGCCGAGCTAACGTATAAACTGTGAAACCAACGGAGACAAGCAGACATCTCGACCGAACTCCCAGTAGACCGGCTTCCACACCAGCAAGCCAAGTAGCTCGGTCCCACATGCCCTGTGCCTTAGCCAAGCAAAACCCTTTCGAACAGGCCCAAGCTACCACGACCCAATCGTGTTCGGCCCACAATTTGCCCGGCCATTACCATGGCCCAATTTAGCTCATAAATCTCCCCCGCGGCCCAAACGTGTTCGGCACTCAACTTGCCCGGCCTTTGCCATGGCCCATTTCAGCTCATAAAATCTCCCTCTCAATTGCCCCTTATTTCCGTCTGCACAAGCGTGACTGGGATTACATGATCCAACCGGGGTAAACTCTTCATCGGTCCTCAGTTTGCAAGTAGTTAACCGCGCTAGTCGACATGCCTGGTTTCCAAACTTGCCCGGTCGACACCTCATATCGCCTCCCTGTCTCTTCAACTCTGACGCCGCCATTAATTGGGACATGCGTCGCTCGTTTATTGGCCTCGAGTAGCCAACCCTCACGTCCCTTCACAGTCAAAAATTTTGGTGGTCTCTCTCTCTCCTATATATACGTCATTTCTCCCTTCATTTCGTGCTTACTGACTCTCCTTCAGTTCTTGACATTCCAGAGCTCCAGAGCCTTCAAAGAGCCTCCTTCTTGCGTCTTGCTATGTTCATGCTTGAAGACTCACCTCCAGCCCCATTTTGGTAAGTTCTTTGACCCCTTTATTGCTATTTCATTTGATATTCTTTGTTTTAGGGCACAAAAACCATAGATTTTAGGGTATAGCTCCCCAAAACCCTCTCATGCCCCTTGTCCTCCTTGTTGTTCTTCAGCCCCAGTGATGAACACCTGAAGATCTGGGGCGGACCGGGCTCCAGGTCTTCTCTTGATCCTAAAAAACATTAAGACCCAGCAAATTGCTAGTTTTAAGAAAACTTCTGTAGGAACCGAGGTAGGCAGAGTACTTGACCGGTCGACCGGGCTAATATCTGGTCCGCTTGACCGGTCGTGCCCCTGAATTTACCTTCATGACCGAGGTGGTCTGGCACTCCATCAGACCGAGCCAAAGTCAAGCTCGTTTTGCGCGACCGCACTTCTACTTACACTTACCCTTCTTTTCCTGCAGAGTCCAAGGGGACCACACCAACTCCGAGGCTCTCTAAGACCGAGCAGCCATCAAGCAAGAGTTTGTGCCAAACCACCTCAGCCGAGCTAAAACCAGCCGGCCACACATGGGGCGCTACCGCTTCCTGGTCGACACTCCGGTCGCTCTAGCCGCGTTCCCGGAAGAATACAGTATCCCGGACGACATTCATTTAGAGCTCGGCATTGAGGACACAACCCCATGGGGCAGATTAGACCAGTGTCCCTTCACCGTGTTGTCCATTATAGAAGGGGGCCTCCGCTTCCCAGTTAACCCGCTGATCTACGAATTCTTGCGGCGCACCGGGCTAGCTCCAAGCCAAGTCTTAACCAACACTTACAGAATAATCAATGGGATCCACGAACTGAACAACCGGCTAGGAACCAACCTAGGACTAGCCGAGATACTGCGCTAGTATACTCTCGGGCATACAGGCGATGGCCTTGCCTACTATTTAAAAATCAGACCGGGCAAGGAGAAGATAGTGACTAGCACCCCAAACAAGGACTTGCACGACGATGATTTTTTCTGGGTGTCTGGTAACTACGAAACAGTTGACGTACCAGGCTGGTTTATCAGCAAAAATTTCAGCGAGACATGTAAGCCGCGCTAACTGCTCGATTAATTATCTTTCTTCACTATTTTGTACTTAGCATTTTTCCTTCTTTCCTTTGCAGCAATCGAATCTTTGCAAGTCAACTATCACTACCCCAACGAAGCAGCCATCAAGACCATGCTTCGTTACAGAAACTGAGATTGCCACAGGCTCCTCGGTTACGTGCCGACATACCGATATTCAGCCCCACGCTGGAGCAAGGTAACAGACTTTCTCCGCGCTCCGTTACCTCCTCCAGACCCCACATTGCCAGACGTGTGTAGACATCCCATTTTTGACCGTCCTCAAGACTTGGACGTTACCATTTGAACACTCAGTGATCATCTATGCTCGTGTTTGTTTTGAGTTCCCGGAGGTCTCGGCTACGCGCCTTGCTTCAAGATCTCTCAACTCGACTATTCTGTGGTTGGTTTTGCACCAGACACTTGTGTTTTTGTTTCTGAGACAAGGAGTGGCTTGTTAGCCCCCCCTGAGACCCACCGGCCGTGTCTTCTTGATATCGGCCATTGGTGAAATAGTCCATTGGCCGGTCGGCACTATGAGTGGTCGACCGGCACTTTATTTGGCCGGTGGCCTCATTTTTTGGCCGGTATCACTTTTTTTCCTTTTTCAGGCAAAACGCATGCCAGCTGTGCCCGCTGGAGTGCACAAACCTGGCCGTCCATGCACGAGTGTGACTGTTTTGCCCCTTTTGCACCTTTTTGGTCTAGCTTCTTAAGGAAGCTTGGACCTTTGTCTTAGCTTCCTCAAGAAGCTTGGACACCTGCCCTAGCTTCCTAAGGAAGCCTTGGCCCCTTTGCTTAGCTTCCCTTAGAAGCCTTGACCCTTTAGGATAGCTTCTCTTGGAAGCTTAGCCTTTTGCTTGGTCTATATAAGAGCCCCTCCTCTCTCCTTTGTTTTGGTTTTGAAAATCCAGACCTAATGCATACATATATCTGATATATCATCCTCTCTCTCTATATCTCCCTCTCTCCCTTCATTTTGTGTGTGTTTTATAGCCTAAAAGTGTGTTTAGTTCATAGTATTGCACTAAAACACACACTATTACACCATACTTCGACTTTGGGAGGCATTGAGGGTTTGTTCTTGAGGTTTTGGACTGGTTTCGATCAGAAGAAGAGGGCTGCATTTGCTGTTCTTCAAGGATTCTCCAAGGGTAACACTTTTACTTTATATTCCCCAATCTTGCACTAGTCTTTTACCTATCTTGCTTACTGTTTTAGACTTTGTGTATAACTGAAAAAAGTCTTATATTTGCATGCTTAAGATACTTCATTGAGGTTGTTTTGGTGTTGGGGGTCGACCTCCCCCTCTAAGGCCTTGTTTGGCCCTTTTGGTGCTCTCTTTGCTAAGCTTTGGTTAGTATTGTGTGTTGACCTTCTCACCACTGAAATCCAGTGGATTTTCAGTGGTGAAGAAGGGGGTTTGAGGTCTTGCATAGGGGAGGGACACCCCTCTCCCCTTTGTGTCTCATTTGTGCATGTTTTGGCCTCATAAGGGTAGCATATGTGCTTGGTTGTTTTTGGTTCCATTTTAGAGGTTTTTAGGTGTTGTTTGGTCATAATATGTCTCTGTTTTTGGTCGGATTAATGGCCTCTCCCATGTTTAATACACTTGCTTTGTATTCCCCCATTTTGCCTAGAAATGCACCTAGCCATTAAACCCTCATGCTTGCACATTTCTACCTAGCTTTGTGAAGCTTTTGGTCATTATTTATCATGATTAAGGTCTGTTAGGTACTGGCTTGGTCATATTTGATATGCTTTGTATGGCCCCCTTTGCATTCTAGCACGTTGGTATCGGGTGTGTGAGTCATTAGCATGTATTGGCTAGACTATTTCAGTGATTTGGAATCACTCATTAGGTCATTTCAGTCCATGTTTGATGCTTACATGCTTGCATTTGTTCACCTTTTAATGCCTTAAAGAGGTGTGGTCTTATGCTCCATGTTTGGGTTTTTGTACATGCCTATGTGTTTGGGGTCCTGGGTTGCCATATCAGTGGGTTTTGGAGGTCCATTTTGCGTGCTAAAACTCTGTTTTGTATTGAAAGATCCATGCCATGTTTGTTCGCGGTAAGTGTTGAGCAATGCTCTCATTTGTAGTCTTGAATGCCATCTATGTTGCATCCATTCCCTAGCATGTATTGGTGTCATCTTTCGCATGCTTTTCGGAGTTTAATGTGAGTGTTTAAAGTCCAAGTATATTACCCTTAAGTATGCCTAGAGTTGTTCCCTTTCATGTTCAAATGATAGGCCTTGGTGTGTGCATGCTTGCATGCATAATTGGTACCATTTTGGGCCCTTTTGGCCACTGTTTTGGGGCATGGCTGAGGCCTCCTATTTCAGTTTAAGACCACTTTTGTACCTACTTACATACTTGGCATGATGTATGTTGCATTACATTAGGAGCATACTTGCATTATATCTTGTTTGCATGTTCGCACCTTGTTTGGTTAAGATTCATCACATAGTCTTGTTGTATACTTGATATGCCCACATTGCATTAGTCTAGCTTGCATGGTTAGCTAATGTCTTGTTGCATTTGATTAGTTCGCTCGCATGGCATTGCATGAGTTGCATTACTTCGCATTGTACATTACATACATGCATTGCATTGCATTGCTTGGCTTGGGGTGTCAAACCAAGCATGAGAGGAGAGGTATGTTTGTACCCAAAGTGACGAAACACGTCTCAACCCTCGGTCGCCGATGCCCTTGACCTCAATATGAAAGGGTGTTAGCATTCATTTGTGTGTTGCATGCATTTACATTAAGTTGCAAACTTGGCCTCTTAGGCCATCATGCATCGAAATGCACAATTCATGGCCCGAGGGTCGAGGACCACGCTCCTTTGAGTTCATTGCATGATAG